ACAAATGACAGATGCTCTTGGTGTTTTTGGTTTATCTTGCCTTCAAAAGGTAATTGCAACTCATAGAATACCTGCGTATAATATTCTTACAGATCTTACTAATGAATATCTTTGAATCGGAGAAACCACTGGATAAAAAGTCTTAGAGTTTTCATCAAAGAAATCGTAGAAGTTTTTAGTGATTGGTATCTAAGGGCATCAAACGAGATCGATATTTATCAATTATTATCAATTGGAGAGCAACGTGGATTTCCAAGGATGTTAAGGAGCATTGACTGTATGCATTAGAAATGGGAGAAATACCCAATTACATGGCATGAGATATATACTAGTCATTGTCATGAACCAACTATAATTCTAAAGGCAGTGGCTTCACAAGATCTTTGGATATGACATACTTTTTATGGAATGTCTGGATCATTAAATAATATTAATATTCTTGATCAGTCACATATCTTCGTTGCACTTGCTGAACATCATACTGCTCGTGTCAATTATACAATTAATAGGCATAAGTAGACAATGGGACACTATTTAGCAGATAAGATTTATCCTAATTGGTCAATCTTTGTTAAAACAATCCCAAAGCCATTAAGAACCAAGATAAAATATTTTGCAAGTAAGCAAGAGTCTACAAGAAAGGATGTGAAGCGAGCATTTGGGGTGTTCCATTCTTGTTTTTGCAATTATACATGGACTTGTTCGATACTGGGATGAAGAAACGCTTGCAAATATTATGAAAGCTTGCATAATAATGTATAATATGATTACTGAGGATGAAGGAGGAATGAACCTTCGATTTGACCATGAACATGAAGTCAATTCTTTTATATCAGTGTCACATGGTGAAATACCAGAATTACATGATTTTCTTTAAACTCGTAATCGAATCAGGGATAGAATAATTAGCTCTCAACTACAAAAGATTTGGTTGAATATTTGTGGAAACAATATGGCAATGAGTAGAATCATTATATTTGAACTTCTTATGTCATCATAAGTTTCAAGTTTTTTATGTTTTTCTATTATTATTATGGTTGTTATCTTTAAGTTAATTAATCCTACTTATTGTTGTTAAGTGTTATAAAAACTTCAAAAAAGTATTATGAATTTATATAACTTTTATAACAATATATTTAAAATAACCATGAAATTTCTACATATTTAATTAAAAATATATTACATTAAACTATAAATCAATCTAGTTAATTAAAAATTAAAACCCTACTTTTGTATAATTTCTAACTTTCTATTTTGAAAATACGCTGTAGATATTGGATCAAAATTAGAAATATTCATTTTCATAATTTGTTCTTCTTTCTCAATCCTGTCTGATTCTTGTTTCTCTTTACTTTATTGAATTATCATAGCTTGTTGCTCTAACATAATTTTTCTATCTTGTTTCTTCTTATCCTTAATTTCAACTAAAGTATTTAATTATTATAAGAGATTTATTACAGTTACCTCCCAAACTTTATCTTTTTCTTATTTATATTTAAGTTGTTTCTTTGTAGCCTTCTGACTAATTGGTCTATCTTAATAAATGAACGGTTCACTGTCTTCTCATACACTAACAAAATCAGGGGTAGATGGAGATGATGAAGCTGGCTTGCATTAATATGACTTTTTTGTTTGACCTTTGATGTTGACTTGCATGCTTAAATTGTCATTGGGGTTCTTTTTTAAGATAACCCAACAATGTTCTAGTTGAAATTGTTCGCCAACATAAGAATCATATATTTGTTGAGTATCATTAATCTGGTAAAAACTGGGAGAAATTAAATAATGTTAAAATATATGTTAAACAATTTAACATGAAAATAAATATTAAAATTACCCTTGATTTTTCAGTACTTCCACTTTACTGATGATTTTCAATTTGAGTAATAAATCCAATAAATTTACTAACTTCTCTATTTATTTCTTACTATCTACTTGAGATACTTATTTGGAAATGATTATTCAAGTTTCCTCTATTCTCCACAAATTAAGCATGTACTCGAGCTCAAAAAAATTTTATTTATTGTTTAACTCCTGTAATTGGATCCTTGCTTGTATTTAGTCATACAAAGAAAAGTAAACAATCTTTCTCTAGTAAGAAGTTTTTACATCTTTGTGATTTTTTTATTGTGTGAACATTTAAATTTAAGTATGTTAAGTCATCAATTAATTTATTAGAATTACTTAGTTAAGAGAGAATATCTTCTGACTCACTCATAAAAAAGTTGGTAAAAGAGTTTGGAAAATTTGAATCCATCTACATTAAAAAAAAAAATCAAGTTAAAACCTTATAAGAAAGTGTAAAAGAAGTTCACATTCAATGTCCATCAATTTTGTAATTTCCATACATGTGAATTAATAAGCAATACTTCCTACTTGTTCTAACATTACAATTTAACCATTTTTTGGAACTAAACAAGGATTGATATACTAGTTTAATTGCATTTTCAACAAGATAAAATATAATTGACCTTAAATTAAAATAGAAAATAAATTTTAAATTTTAAATATATCACTCTATATTTTTATCAATATCAGTTACCATTATTATTTCTTCTCAATTTTGTCAAAGATAACAACATAAATAAAAATTGTCTTCCTTAACCCGTATTAAAAACATAAAATAACAAAGAAATAAAAATCATCACAAATATCAAATTAACAACAAAAGGTCTGAAAAATCAAGAGATATAAAAGAGAAAATAGAAAAAGCTTTTAAAAAAGCATACCTTTTAATTTTAGTTAATTAACACAATCAATATTATTTATTAACCGAAGAATAATTGATTCGTTTTTTTTTTTAATTTGAGAGAAAGGTGAGGCATAATACAAGATTTTAAAATTTATAAGTTTTTTTTCCTTCTACTTTAAAAATAAAAAATAAATTGTTGGCTATCAGCTATAAAAATAACCAACTATAGTTATTGGCCAATTGTCATTTTCTTTTGACATTTCTAAGAAAAATATAGAAATGACTCTTTAAAGGATGAATAATTATTTTAACTATTTATTTGCCTGAGCCGTTGGAATGAATAAAAACAGAAACAAAGAAACAAAAGCTAAAAGAACAACTTTTTAAATTTGCATTTTTATTTAGCTCTCCTGTTGGAGATGCTCTTAGAGCATCTCCAACCAAAAAGGTAAAAGAAGAGCCAAAAAGAAAATATTGTACTTTTAGCATTTTTATTTGTTTATGTCCACTCCAACTAGGTAGCTAAACTCACAGCTAAAATAGCTATTGAGTATGGTAAAAGCTATTTTTATCTTTTTCTGTAGCAAAAGGCAAATGTAGGAAAAGGCAAATGAAGACGTTGGTAATTGTTTTTTTTTTTTTGTTAATTTATATCCATTGGCTAACGTCTTCATTTTGTATCTGTTGGCCAACGTTTCATTTAAAAGCAGAACTAGCCAAAGGAAGAAGATAGCATTTAAGCAAAATAGAAGGAAAAAAAACTTATCGGCAAATTTCACCCTTCTCTCTGATTTAGAAAACAAGAATTAATTGTTCTCAAGTTAATTAATAACATTAATTATGTTAATTAGTTGAAATCAAAAGGTACGTGTGCTTAAAGATTTTTTCTATTTTTATTATTTTTTACATCTCTTGATTTTTATTTGCTCTTTGTAATGATTTTTATTTCTTTGTTATTTTATGTTTTTGATATGGGTTAAGAAATACAATTTTTATTTGTATTGTTATCTTTGACAAAATTGAAAGGAAGTAATGATGGTAGCTGATATTGATAAAAACATGGAGTGACAGATCTTAAATTTATTTTTGATTGTCTATTTTAATTTGAGGTCAATTATATTTTATCTTGTTAAAAATACAACTAAACCAAGTGATTAGATTAATTGTATGATTAGGTTAATGTTAGAACAAGTAGAAGGCAATTCTTATTATTAATTCACATGTATGGAAACTATAAAATTGCTAGACATTGGATGTGAGCTTCCTTTTCACCCTTTTATAAGGTTTTAATTTGAGTTTTTTTTTAATGTAGATGGATTTAAATTTTCCAAGCTCTTTTACCAACTTTCTTATGAGCGAGTGAGAAGATATTCTCTCTCAACCAAGTAATTCTAATCAATTAATTAATGACTTAACATACTCGAATTTAAATGTCAATACAATAAAAAAATCACAAAGAAATAAAAACTTCTCACTAGAAGAAAATTGTTTACTTGTCTTTGCATGATTAAATACAAGTAAGAATCCAATTACAGGAGTTGAACAACAAACAAAACAATTCTAGACTCGCGTACATGCTTACTTTGTAAAGAATGGAAGAAACTTGAATAATCGTTCACAAATAAGCATCTCAAGTAGATAGTAAGAAATAAATAGAGAAGTCAATAACTTTATTGGAATTGTTACTCAAATTAAAAATCGTCAGCAAAGTGGAATGACTGAAGAATCAAGGGTAATTTTAATATTTATTTCCATATTAAATTATTTAACACATATTTTAACATTATTTAATTTATTTATTTTATTACCAGATTAATGATGTTCGATAAATATATGCTTCCTGTGTTGGCAAATGATTTCAACTAGAACATTGTTGGGTTATCTTAAGAAAAAAACTCAAATGACAATTTGAGCGTGCACATCAACATCAAAGGTCAAACAAGAAACAAAAAAGTCATGTCAATGCAAGTTCGGCGTTATCAACTCCATTTACCTTTGATTCTGTTAGTTTAGGAGAAGATAGTGAACCGGTGATTTATCAAGATAGACCAATTGGTCAGAAAGTTATAAATGAACGACTTAAACATAGACAAAGAAAAGATAAAGTTGAAGAGGTAACTGTAACAAATTTCTTACAACAATTCAAGGATACTCTAGTTGAAATTAAAAATTAGAAGAAACAAGACAAAAAAAAGTATATTAGAGCAAAGTCATGATGATTCAACAAAATCAAGAGAAATAAGAATTGAATATATCCATTTTGAGATTGTCTTAATAAAGGTTGACCAACTAGGATAAATCTCATATGCTAAATAATATCTTATTGTATATTCATGTCCATTAATTGTATAATTGACAGGAACAATACGACCTTCAGCAGGTGCAGCAAAGATAGGTGACCGATCAAGAACATTAATATCATCTAATGATCTAGGCATTCAAAAAAAGACATGTCATATCCAAAGATCTTGTGAAGCCACCGCCTCTAGAATTATAGTTGGTTCACGACAATGACCAGTACACATCTCATGCCATGCAATTGGACATTTCTCTCATTTCTAATGCATACAGTCAATGCTCCCTAACATCCTTGGAAATCCACGTTGCTCTCCAATTGATAATAATCGACAAATATCAGCCTCGTTTGGTGCTCTTAGATACCAATCACCAAAAACCTTTACGATTGTTTTGACGAAAGCTCTAAAACTTTCTATCGCAGTGATTTCTCTAATTCGAAGATATTTATTAGTAAGATCTCCATGAATACCATATGCAAGTATTTTATGAGCTGCAGTTACCTTTTGAAGGCAAGATAAACCAAAAACACTAAGAGCATCTGTCCTTTGTTTGAAATATGGATTATAAGCTTCCACTGCATTTGCGATCCGAAAAAAAAGATGATGACTTATTCTAAATCTTCTTCGAAATTGACTTTCAGTGAATTTAGAATTTTCATCAAAATAATCATTATATAACCTTAACTCACCTTATTTTCTATTACGATTGACAATATTATGACCAAGAATAGAGCCACGATACCCTGTTCTCCGCCCTTGATTATTCGATTCTTCTTCAGCAACCACAGCGGTAGCAACTTGAAAAGCTAGCACGAGAGTGTCATTATCAAAATAAAAATTAGAATTAAAATGATTCATAATGAATTTTAATGAAATATAACAAAGATTGAAGAGAAGAAGATGACGAGAAAAAATGTTAAGGTATATGATAATATTTATAGATGAATTATTTTTTTAAATTGTAAAATCTTTGAATGTTAACAGTAATATTTTCAAAATTTGAAATTTTAAAATTTAAAATGTTAGCAATTATCTTTTCAAAATTTAAAATGTTAGCAGTCATTTTTTCAAATAAAAATTGAAAATAAAAATTTAAAACGTTGGTAGTTTTTTTAAAAAGTTTGAATTTGAATTTACTTTTAAAAAATTAAATTTTTAACAATAACATATAAAACTTAAAATTAAAAATATTCATATAAATAAATTTTAAATTTAATTTTCAATTATATCTTTTAACTTTCATATTACTTCATTAATTTCATATTACTTTTATAAATTACTCATATTAATTATATAATTAATAACATCATAATTATATTATATATAAAATATATAAACTAGTTATATAATTATATTAAAATTAATTTAACATGAAATATATTAAAATATAATTGGTTCTTCTAAATAGCTTTTTACCATTAGAATGCACATAATCAAAAAAACTATATTTATACTATTTTTATATTTACACTATTTAAAAAGCTATTTTTTCAATTTGGCTCTTTAATATAGCATTCTCCATTGGAGATGCTCTTACTAGTTATCTTAATTTAACAAACACCACCTGTTATTATAACAATTATAAGTCACATTACTTACTAGACATCACTTACTACTACTAACCACTTGAACTTTTCTTATCAAGTCATTAAAAACTTTCCTTTGGCTAGAAATAATGGATTTGATTGATTGAATTAAGAAATTAACTAATTTTTCAAAACATAAATCTTATTCCTATGCATTTTAAATTTTAGAACTCATCACATTGAATGAGAATTTACGGCCTATCCAATAGGGACGAGAGAGTTTGAGGATCATTATCTTAGCTCAAATAAATAGGCATTAATATAAGAACCTTCGTCAATCCAGCTACCACCCTTTCCCACTCCCTTTTTCCTTGTCTTTTATGAGATCACATATGTGATACTTGTTGAGAGCAACTGTTTGGGATGAGGAAGTTTTGTATCATTGATAGAAATGATTGATAATAAACCTCTTCAAGTTAAGAAAGATACAAGAAAATATATTATTATGAATACAACAAGATTGATGCTAGATTTGAGGGTTATTAAAAAGATTTTGGATGTGAATTCCTCAAGTGCGGTTGTTGAAGAATTGGTATCTAGTAAAAAAAATTAATTACAATCCTTAAGAATCTTGAAGCCAGAAGGAAAAAAAAATAGAGAGAACACTAAGTGTACCAGTGGAATTTACTGTGCTCTAGAGAAATGTGAAGGCTATTGGAAATGAAACACTACGGCAGTTGCTAAATCAGGGGAAGAATACTCCACAATTGAAATAATTTGATGCAATATTTTCATGAGGTGGCGTTTACATGCAAAATGCATACTCTTTCTCTTCAAAGGAGATAAGTTTGGTTTTTGTGAAACGGTGAAAAAAAAACACGCGCGCCCCTAAGTCAGTAGAATGTTCATCATTGCTAGATTTAAAACAAACGGCAATCAAACAAAACTTCAAAGTGATTTTCATATAATTTACTAGACAAAAAAAACCAATCTCAAGGAAAATCTTTAAGGAGGAAACCAATTTGGAGATATCGAGTTCTCTAGTTCCTAACATTGACTTACCTTTTGACATTGCAAACGGGTAACAGTCCAAATACTTTGTTTTACAATCTCTCAGGAGTGAGGACACATGTATTTGAGCTGATCAACTTGCAGGGTCCTTCTTGCTCTTCTTCTTTCTAGAAGCAGAGCTGCTGGGTCCAATTTCAATTGACATTCTCTTAGCCCTGCAAAACAGAACAAAAAAGAAATGTTCTCTGAATAAAGCCAACATGAAGAAGAAAATGAAGTTCCAAGAAAGTACAGGAACACAGAGAAAAAAACATACCGCGTAGAGAGCTCTTTTGATTCCTCGCCATTATCTTCGACTGCATCATCTGTGAAAATATAATCAAATTAAAGAGAATACAAATGTAGCTCTACGTAAGTTTGCTAACTCAACATCAAGGCAGAACTGAAATGTTGTTTCGCAACCATTTAAATCAAGATTATTTGGCTTCCCTCAAAAAGAAGAAGTATGCAAGCAATATTCTTTCAAAAGTGCACGCAGAAGGAATAGAAGCAAAAGACATCATTATCAAAGTAAACTTTGAAGAAGCTACCGTGCAAGTTGCCAAGGTTAAGCAAAATAATTTGACAGCATAAAATCTATCAAGTGCCATCACTCGAACACATCTCACCTTGTAACAAATCACTACTGTACAATATATGCTGTTGCTGTCACGGTATTAAAGTTAGTCTGAGTTTTTGCTAAGCTAAGAACTGAGGTTATACCATCAGGGTAACTCGTCAATGTCTGGAAAAAATTATTTCCTATACCTAGGTGTGTTTGCCATCATTCTGATCTTTTACATTTATGTCCCAAAAATTGCTTCATTGCTTGCATAAAAACCATAGAAAGCAGAATCATAACACTAAACACTAATACTTTTTTTTTTTTGCAACACACACCTGCTGCATTTTCTTCCTGGCTTTCGTGCTCGGACTCCGCATCAGAACCCCAACGATCTCCTCCATCGTCAAAGTCCCAGCGTTCTCCAGCAGGTGGAATCCAGAAATCAGTTTCTTCCAAATCACTGTCCATATCAGAAGAATCCCTTACTTGAGAAATAATTTCCTCAACCTTGTTTTGCTTCTTCTTATTCTTTTTCTTTTTCTTAGCACCATCCTGGCTCGACTTCAATTCTTCCTCAACTTCCTCCGCTACCAGTCCATTGGATTCCAATTTCTCCTTTTCCTTTTGCTCTGTCCACAACAATCATTTCTTCAAATCTTAAAAAGAAACACAAGCCAACACTTGTGCAAAATTACAGTAAAAATAAAAAATAAAAAAACAAACCTAATTTGTTAAGAAACCTCTTCCCATTGATGTGCTTCCAAATATGTTCCTCAGACTTGTTGACAGTATCCCCAGTTAATTTACATATCAACTTTGAACTAAAAAACAAACAAAATTTTATTACAGAAACTAACGTTAAATATCCAAATGAGTCACTAGAAAAACAAAAAACCAGAAAAGAAAAGGTGTAGTTAAGGTTAGAAAAGTACCGAGAGAGAGGGTCTTGCTTGAACATGTTGAGGGGGGGTTTGTTGTTGGCTAGGGCAAAGTCTATCAGACCCAAACGACAGCGTTTACTGTGTGAATAGGATTCTTTGTCTTTGGCTAACATTTCGTGTCCGCTCTCTAGGCACTTGAACCTGCCATTTTCGAGCTGTGTGAAGGTAGGTGAGCCCAACAAGTTGCTCCCTTCCTTCGTCTCCATCTTCGTGCTCTCTTCACTCATCGCCGCCTTTCAACAGAAATATCAAAAACAAAGTAGAGCTGTTTTCTTTTCTTTTGCCTTTAAATCTGATAGCTGACTCGTCGTTTTGTATTTTTGCTTCTGAAAGAAAAGCGGCATGTCGTATGCACTCCGTTCTCGCCTAAATTAATTAAATTAAATTATTAAAAGAAAACTAAAAGATCCTGTGGTTTTTCTAGAACGGCACTCGCAATGCACCGTGGAATGTAACAGAGCATTGTGAGTTTTTTTTTTTTTCATTTGATTTTATTTGATCACTTTATTTTTTTATTTTTATATATATTTTTTTTAATTTTATCATTTTATATTAAATTTATTTAAAATTAATTTTAATAATTTATTTTGATCATTTTCATATAAATCCTTGCTATATTAAAAAATAAATTTAACTCTTAATAGATATTGAAGAAATTATTTTGGTAATGATATTTTTATGAGGCAATGTGTGTTGAGGTTGAAATTTTAGTGTAGTTTTAGTGACTTGTTTTTCTTTTCATCTCTAATTAGTTTTTCTTGATGACTCTTTTTGGAATAGAAAAAAAAGTTAGTTTTATATATTGAATTTCATTTTTATTTTTTTTGTTATTTTTTATAATAATTATTTTTTAATTTTATCCTTTAATATTGGGTTGGTTAGAAACTGAGTTTTTAAAAATTTTCTTGTTTACTTTTTATATAATTATCTTAATCTTAGTACATAAGTTATAGGTTTGACATGTTTATATAAATTTACTTAGGTAATTTTTTTGTTTTCTTTGTTAATTAATTTTTTATTTATTTTTTTATATTTAATTAGTTAGAAATTGAACTGAGTAGTGTTTTTACTTTCTATTACGTTATTTAGATTTTAAATTTAAAGTCACAAATTAAATAGGTTAACTTAAGTTGACTATAATATTTTTTGTCAATTTTTTTAAAATTTATTATTTTTTTATTTTTTCTTTCAATATTAGTTTGATTGGGAATTTAACATTTTAATTTTTTTCTTTAAGGATATCTCATTTTCACAACCTCAATCGTGTGTTTAGCAAGTTAATCCGAGGTGACTCAAATTTTTTTATTTAAATTGAATATTTTTTCAATCTTGTTTTTCTATATTTTGTTTATTGATATATTTGTTTACTCTTAGATTAATTAAAAATTTATTTTAGATATTATATTATTAAGTTCCATTTAATTTTTATATTATTATCAAGTATGACTATAAAATTATTTTCACAATATTGGCATGTGTTTTTCTATATAGGTAACTATGATTAATTTTTTAATTTATTTTTTGTGATTTTTTATTTCTATTATCATATAATTAATTGAAATAAATTTATTAAACGATCTTTAACCTAAGTTGTGGATTTTTCTTACTTTTAAAAAACATGCTAGCAATACTTGAACATTTTTTATGTTAAAAATTAATATAAAATATATTAATAATAATTTAAATATAAAGACTAATATACCATTTCTAACATTATAAGATTTGTAGCTATAAGAACATAACT